CAAACGTTATTTTTTTAAATTATAAATTGCATTCTATTTTCTATTTTGTAAGTACATTTGAGGATACAACATTGACAATAGTAATAATATGATGCCCTCGCCTGAAGATTATTTGCTTCTGGTTTTAGGCAGTAGTCTCTAGAAAGTGATCTCTGGTCTATTTTGAGTATACATTTAATGTATACATTTGCACTGAGTGTGTGCAATATAGGTGGTACGTGGCAAGAAAAAAAATAAACCTAAGAAAGAAGAATAAAATGCATAATGTAGAAAATAAGAACTGGATTGTCTTTCCTGTGAGACCTGTTGGCTTCAGGTTATTGTTTAACTACCCATAAGTAGGTCAGGTAGTGAAAAGGGAGATAAAATGGAGGAAAAATAAGCTGATTTGGTTAGGGACAAGACAAAGCTTTTGCTCAGAAACACACAGATACACACTTTGCAATATATATGGTATGTGCAAGCTTTCGTTAGGGTAAGGCAGGTGAGACAAGGAGGGAAAGGAAATAGCAAGGGTGCTTAGAGCTAACAGGGCTGGGTAACCCCTTCCTCCTTTATGGCAAAGGCTACTCATCAGCAAGAGGAAGGGGAGACAAGGCAAGAGTCTTTGTGCAAAAAATTCTGGATTGTGAGTTGGCAGTTTAGTAAATGAGGAGGGTGAGAAGCTGGAAGTTCCACCTGTTACGAATTGCCTGTAGATTTGCTATTGTGGTTTGGAGGGCTACCAGAACTAGACTGGAGGTTTAATTCTGGAGAGTGCCTGAAAAAGAGTGAGAGAAGACCTGTCAGGTGAGACTTGACATTATACAAATGACAGGTAATGCTCAACCTACAATCACAATTGGACTGGAGCTTCCATCACTAAGCAAGGTGGTTGTTAAAAGAATCATCATGTAACTATGTCCAATTTTACATCCCCCCCCCCGTAGTCATTAAACGAACCACATAGTTGGTAAATGAATCCAGCTTCCCCCTCTGACTTTGCTTGTCAGAAGCTGGCTGGGAAGTTCACAAATGGCAATCACGTGATCCTGGGACACTGCAGTCATTGTAAATACATGCAGTGACTGAGACAGTGCCGCAATGATCATAAGTGCAAGGACCCGTCATAAGTCAGTTTTTTTCAGCAACACTGTAACTTTGAACGGTTGCTAAATCAATAGTTGTAAATTGTACAGTGAGAGTATTTGCAAGAGAGGAGGGAGAATTGATTTGCTTCAGAAATGTACTGCACTTTTAGGTAGATTGTTCACTTGGTTGTGTAAGAATTTGCCCCCTGGAAAATGTATCCCAATTGAATTCAATTTTGTTTAGATGTTTGAAGTTATAATCTACTTAACATTTACCTCTGGAGGTAGGATATGTTTTCTTATTGGATTCCCTTGAAGAAAATGAATCACCTCTTAGAACCTCCTTGATGGTGGAAAGGATAGGTGGAAATACATTGTCTAAATCAGGGGTAGTCAACCTTGGCTCTTTTATGACTCGTGGACTTCAATTCCCAGAATTCCTGAGCCACCTTAGCTGGCTCAGGAATTCTGGGAGTTGAAGTCCATGAGTCATAAAAGAGCCAAGGTTGACTACCCCTGGTCTAAATGCTGAGGGAAAAAGCCTGTTTGAAGATTCTTTGTGGGACATCAGCATGTGAACTCGGGACTGGTCTTTGTCTTACCACAGAGGCTATATAAATCCATAAAAGGCTCCACTGGGATCACTCACATCTTTCTCCCCTACTGGCTGCAGCAGCTAGGGGAGGGAAGGCAAAAAATTGACTCCCACCCCCCATACAGTACTGAATTATTATGGGTAGAAGTGAACGTTTTTGCTCTTAAAAGTTGATATGGTAACATAGATGTGAAATATGTTTTTACAGTAAAAAACAAATTCCCCGAAGAGAAGTAACTTTCGCACAGTTGAGCAAGAACTGGAGAATGGTTAAACAACAGAAAAGTAGGAACAAGGGTTTTGGTAAAAGGATTTATGGAGCTAATTCTACAGAACTGAGGTATGCTTGGGAAATATGCCTTTCTCTAGGAGCCCAATACTTTGAGGAATAGAATAGAATAGAGCTGGAAGGGACCTTGGAGGTACAGAGTTTTTTTTAAAAAAACTAGAAGATGAAACTTTGCAGCATCAGAGGAGGAAGATAAACCAGTGGATTATTATTCTATACCAGACACTATCAGGTAAAAAGTAGATATTGCAAACCACATCATGATATAAATGTTTTTTCTGGAGTAAAGTCCATTCCTGCATTTGGGGAAGAAAGGATTGGTAATGGATCAAAGTTTGTTTTGTTTTCGCTACTCAAATAACAGTAGATAAAAATTTGTAGAGAGGGGAGAGAAAGGAATTACAGAAAAAAAAATTAAAAACCTTGTCCTGGTTGTGGTTCTGTCCCTGTCCTCATTCCGGCCACATGCTGCTGCCCAGGACCTATGGCTATTTGGGAGGGAGGTTATGGTGCAATAGAAAGTAGAAAAGATGGCTGCATCAGGTTTAAAACACTGTCCACATCCTGGTTAAAAGATGTTGAGACCCATCCTGCTTTTTTGTATTAATGAGCCAAATTAGGGAGGAAGCTTCTCTGGCACTTCATTAAAGAAAGAGTCTTCAGGTGTTGGGAGATCAAAGCAAAAAATCTGTTGAGTCTCCTAACTGAATAAAGTTTACTATACCCATTATATTACACTTTCAGAAGGAAAAGAAGGGGAAAAACCAGTCAAACCACAGTCATCCTGCTAGCCCAAATCCACAACTTAGAAATTCAGCTTAAATCACTTTGCTTTAAGTTGAATGGATAATGCTAGTCAGCAATCGGTAGAATGTCTGTATTGATCATTAAAATATCCAGTGTGTTTTCTTTGCCATTTTACTACCTTGGAGAAAATGGTAACAGTATGAATAGAGTTCTGTTATGTTGCTTAAAGAGTGAATGATTATTTCACTTCAGATTATCACTTGGATCTAGGGGTTATTTAAAAAAAAATCAATAGTTTCTTAAAATAAAGCCCATGCTGATTAGAACTTGGAGAGGGAACAATAGCAACAGCAATAGCACTGAGACTTATATACCGCTGCTCCTCTGTAGTGCTTTACAGCATTCTCTGAGCAGTTTGTAGTGTCAGCATATTGCCCCAACAAACCTCAAAAGGATGGAAGGCTGAGTCAACCTCGAGCCCCATCAGGATGGAGCTCCAGGCTGTGGGCACAGTTAACTTGCAGTACTGCATGCTAACCCACCAGGGCTCAGTGGCTCAATATCATACTGTTTACAATGGCATTTTAAGGTATTATCTAAATAAAAGAAAATATGTGTAAGCCAATTATAAAAATACTGGCATGACCGATGATTGCATGAGTAGACAATTTCAAACATTTTGAAACAAGATGTGTGATCTAGGTAGGCATTACATTCCTTAATAACTTGTTTCATACTACCTTCTGATATCCCAGTATCTAGCTTTTTTATATATTCTAGTTGAAATAATTTAAGGAGGCAAGTGGCTTTTATTAATTTTGTTATTGATTTTCCTAAGATATTTCTTTATTAGTATTCCGGTAACTGGGAGTTTAAAAAAAATTAATAAATAAGAGGCAGCAGTTAATTTGTTGGTTCACTGCATGAACCACTATCTGGACACTATTAAGCATCTATCTATCTATGTATCTATGTATCTGTCTGTCTGTCTGTCTGTCTGTCTGTCATCTATCTAATGTAGTTCACCACTGAGAATATATATGTCATCTAAAAAGGACTGTGTGATTCTTAGTCGCAATAAAGGTGGTTTAGAGCCAGTTTTGTGTAGTGGTTAACATGCTAGCCTAGAATTAGGAGACTCTGAGTTCTAGTCCAGATTTAGGCATGAAAGATAGCCGGGCCAATCTCTCCCTGTCCGCACAAATCCACCTCACAGAGTTGTTGTTAGGGGAGGGAAAGGAGGAAGAAGGAGTATTATGAATTCTTGAGTGACTCGTAAAGTAATAAAGGCAGGACAAAAATCTAATAAATAAATTAAATGCCGCAGCTGATAGGACGATGGTGGCGACGCTTCCTTCTCGGAATCCAAGGCGAATGGTCTTCAGAACGGTTCGGCACTAGGTCGTTGCTCTGGACGAGGCGGCCCCACCCCCTGGATTAAGTGATTGGCTACCTTCCCTCCCTCTTTCTCTCCCTTCGACTTGCTGACATCTTCCCCAAAGAAGGGGAATCGGGAAGCGCTAGGACCAAGTAGGCTCGGAGAGACCGCTGGAATCTCTTCTGTGCAGAGCGGTTGTTGCTGCTGCCGCCGCCGCCGCCGCTGCTGCCATTTCTCCTCGCATTCCCGGCTTGGAGAGAAAGGAGGGGAGCGGGAGGTTACCGAGGCTGACTGAACTCAAGCGCTTAGGCTGCCAAGACTCCCACTGCCTGCTGCTGCTTCTGCTGCTGCTGCTGCTGTTCCTGCTCTGGGCAAGCGAGGAAAGCAGACCGAGGAGGGCGGGAGGCTGGGGGGAGAGAGAGAGAGAGAGAGAGATAGGCAGAGGGGAACTCAAGCTTGAAGGAGAGAGGGAAGCCCCGAGAAAGAAGGAAAGGATCCGATCTTCTCCTTCCAGAGTCTCCATGGCGCAAGGAAAGCGATTGAAGCCGAGGAAAGTGTGAGGCTGTGGGGGGAAGAGACCGACTCATAAGTTTCCGACGCCTCGAAGCCGTTTGTTCGGGCAGCTGGGAGGAAGAATTTGCCTCCTTCCATGCCCCGGTCACTTCAACGCCTCGGGAGATTCAATGCGCTATTCCGGACTCTTTCTGGCTTCCTTCTTGGGGTAACTTTTGGGAAGTCTTGCAGCCGCCGCCGCCACCGCCGCCGCCACAGCTGATAGAAGCGCCCGGAGGAGAGCGGAGAGCCTTGGAAGAAGTACCGAAGGAGAAAGTTTCGGGTGAAAATCCGGCGGGGATTTTCTGTCCCCCCCTCCAACCCTTCCACCACCACCTCCTCCTACCCAGCTGCTTGTTTGTGTGTGTGGGGGGGAAACTAAAGCGCCGAGAAGATGACCCGCTGCTGCGGAGGTGTCCGAAGCGGAGGAGACTTTCTGTGCCTGCTCCTTCTCTTGATGGGTTTCTTATTGCCCGCCTGCAGGACTCGCTTGTACACCAACCACTGGGCGGTGAGGATAAGTGGCGGGCTCCCAGAAGCCAACCGGATAGCGAGCAAGTACGGCTACATCAATATAGGACAGGTAACCTCCTCCGGCGGAAGGCCACCCGCTCTCGCCCCCCAGCTTCGCCCTTGCAGCCGGCGCGGCCGGACGGCTGACGGACGGACGGGAGGGAGGGAGGACGGGCGGGCAAAAGCTGCAAAGTGCTGGTGCTGCGGCAGGCGCGGGAAAGGGAGGCGGTGGGCGCCCTTCTCGCCTCCTTCCCTGTCATCTCCTGCAAGGCAGGCGCGGAGCTTAGGGAAGCAGGCAGCGCGAAGGGCAGGTAGTAGGCTGGCCAGGTCACGTCCGTTCCCCCACCCACCCCTGATTCCTTGCTTTCGGGCCGAGAACTGAGCTCGGTGGCGAGGTCGGACGGCTAGGAATTGGGAAGAGGGAGAGCGGGGGGGGGGGGAGAAACAAAACAGCCGGTTGCAAAAGCTCCGACGAGAGAGAGACCGCGGTTGGACGCCGAGGCAAGCGCACGTCCTGGGGCGATGACATAGTTTCGAGGCTTCCGAGCCCGCTAGGGGAGAGAAGGGGGGGGGGGAGAGAGAATTGCTCGGCCGACGCTGGAGGAGGTTTCAGGCAGCCGAGCAAGAACCTGTTGGGGGTCGCTGACGAGCCCTGAGACTGGGGGAGGGGAGGGCATATTTAGGCAAGCGGGGGCTTGCAGGAGAAGGGAAAGGAAAAGATTTCCAAACTTCCCCGGGTTTAAGGAAGCCGAAAAGGGCCGAAACTTGCTATTTCGGGTGCTTGTTTCTTTAAGCGAGCCAACTACCTGACGCTGTTGTTGACTTGGAGGCCCTGTGGCTGTGGCGGACCCCCTTTTGTGCGTGTTCAGAAGCGCTCATTACTTCCTAATTGCTAGGTTTAGAATGGTAGTCCCTTATGCTCAGTCTCCATTTGAGGATTCCTAGCGTTTCCACCACCACCCCTTATTTTTTTTTGCTTCATTAAATCTATGTTATGGACTTTTCCCTTAATTTTTGCTTCGTGCCAACTTTATCAAGGAAGCATTAGGGTTTGCAGATACTTTGCGGGCTGGAGATGTATAAGTGGGAGACATGGCATACTTTGTGGGGTTTCCTTCATTGCAAAAGATGACCGGATGGATTTCCTTGTTGTGTTTGGGAACCCTGGCCCCACCGCTTGCTGGGAGGAATTTAGTGTACTGCACTTATTTTGGTATTTGTTCTCCCCCCCCCCATTTAACTGTGGCATAGTCATCAAGAAGATAAGAGATTTGAGAAACGATCAGCATTTAATAGCGAGATAAAGCTTTACTGTCTGTCCCAAATATCCCCCAATCTCAAGTCCTCATCATGCATTGGAATAAAATACCCATCATCCCCCAGCCATGTTGACTTGGCTCCTCTCTATGACTTGAACTCTTCCCTTACTCTTTCCACAGTGAACTTTGAGCTCAGCAAATGGAAACCAAGTTTTCAACAAGCAGATGGTGTGTGTGTGTCCCTCCTGGTGCAAGGGCCAAGATTTTTTGCCTGAGTCTTTGCCAGAGTAACAGAAAGGGAGGAGACAGGGATTAATTTGTAACATTGCTCATCAGGGCCAAGACAAGAGCTTTTTTTTACTGCTGAAGTTGGCCCTTTCTGAAAGAAAGACAACCTTGAATTTAAGAGGACAACCTTAAAAGAGATTAATGCTTTCATATACTTTTCATTTTAAGACTGATATATGGGAGAGGCAAAATTAAGGAACTAAACTTCACTTCAGGTAAAGAGAAAACAAGAAATAGGAAGAAAAGCATGTGAAGGCTGATTCAGGTCCCCCCCCCCCCCCCGGAGGAGACATGGGAACCCTAACATTGCTCTTCCAAAAGTGCATTTCTAAAAGGCAACTGGGTTTTCTTGTTGTTGTTTTTTTCTTTGAAAATGTTTCACTTCTCATCCAAGAAGCTTCTTCAGTTCAGTTTGCTTCTTGGATGAGAAGCGAAATGTTTTCAAAGGAAAAAAAAAACCAAGCAAGTCCAGTTGCCTTTGAAAAAGCACCTTTGGGACAACCATGTCCTGGATGATTGAGAATCTCTATAAACACCTAACTTTTCTCTCTTGCTGGAGTTGATGCAGAACCTTTGGGCAGATGACAGATTTAATCCATCATTCATTCTTTCCTTTCATAAATTGCAAAATAGGAACTTATGTGAAAGAAAGGCAAGCAGATGAAAAAGAAAAGTTGCAAAGTTCATGAGAACAAAAGTATTTTGGGCCGGATCAAATATAACTCCTGATTAGTCCAATATATTGTGTCCTGCAGTGGCCAATTAGAAACATCCAAGAAATCATCAAACATAGGATCAGTACCACAGACCCCCAATGTTTAGAAACACTTTTTAAAAAAATCTTGGAGACAATATCCATAATAACTAAATGGTTATTGATAGCTTTTTAGTTACCTATTTTTGTTACAAAATACTTTCTCATGCCAATTGTTAATGTTAACTTATTAACCTCATGAACACAAGTTCAGCGAATTGGGGAAATACATTCTGTTAAAGAGCATGTTGAAATCATAAGAAGTTATTTAGGTGAAAGGAAAGAAATGGAAAAGAAAATGTTCTGAGCAATATTTATTAGTGAATGTTCTACAGACATATTTTAAAGTGTTTTGGAAAAAGCACTTAGTGATAGTGAACTGTTTTAATTCTATATAAAGGAGTGGATTAAGTCTGTCTAATGCAGGTGTATTTGGGAGATTTAAATTTGGCTTTAGTTCAGATGAGTTAAATAAGTTGATACTGATCTGGTCTGAGTCATATTAGCTAGTTTAGAAACTCCTGAATTTGTAGAATCTACAGATGTTAACAAACACCTGGATTTGCTAGACCCCAAACTATTAAATAAAAAAATTATTAAACATTCCATGTACACATGTGTCTTGAATTAGTTGCTCAAGCAATTCAATTAATTTAATGAGAGATTAAACATATATTAAATTATATAAACTATATATAACAGCACTACATAATTTATAACATTTCTAATATTAATAAATATTTCTAGAGAATATTGTTTCAGACATCTGGACCGCCTGTTGTTTTGTTTTATTGTGATTTGTGCATAAACTTCATCACTATCTTTTCTAAAGATAACATAATTTGCAACAGTTAAGAATTTTTAAAATTAGAAATAATGGTCATGTAAAAAAGATTCAGTTATATAGTAAATAAAATGGATTCAAGTCCCATGTTATAATGAATGCTCTAGAACATAAAATATTGTGTGGTGGATAGAAGATTATAGAATGTTTCCACAGCCTATTAACCAAAGATATGGGTTCTTTGTATTCCAAAGAATAGCAAATACCCCAAGGATATATTTTGACTCATTTACTTTAAGGACAAAATGAGAGGCCAGAAAGAGAGCAATTACATTGTTAGGATTTCTCCTTCATAGATAACAAGTTCTTCTTAATAATTATTTTTCTTTAGAACTCTACTCAGAAATTCCATATAAATTAGCATTATGTCACTTTAGTACATGAAATGCTGTGACTTTTTAAACACCTAATTGGATACATTGGTATAGGGCAATCATTTACAACAAAACCTTAGCCATTTTTCTCTTTTGTCATGGTTATTTACTTTTGGCAAATTAAGGTTACCTTATAAATTGAATTTTTTCATACTGTTAAACAAAGCATATCCTGGAAAAAATAGCATTGTAATAATTTGTTATTTTTATTCTATGGAACCAAGAGAGCACAAACAATCCATAACAAATGGAAGTCTGCCATCTTTTTATATTTTGAAAGCTTTCTTTCCATAACCTCTGTTACATTCTTCTGATATTAAAGTTTTCCCTTTTTAAGTTTCTAAGCCAACAAGCAAGAAATTGGAATAATACTATATTTCCTATAATTGTTATACCTACATTCATTTCCTTTCAAGAAAAAAAGTACTGTACACACACACACACACACACACACACACACACGAGACAGATACAAACAGGTAGACAGTTTCCATTAGACTGAATGTTATATCCTATATATGTTTTCTGGTACATATATGTGTACAGTTAGAGAAGTGTGGAAGTTTTTACATAAAACGAATGAAAGTATTATGATTTTATTTTAGATAGACTTCAAAAACTGAATATTTAGAGATGCCAAAAGTAATCCTCCAAAATGGACTTTTAGGGGCTACAGGAAGTGGTGGGATTCGGCCAGTTCACACCACTTCGGCAGAACCGGTAGCTAATTTTTTGTTGCCCAGGCTCAGAATGGACTTCCGGAAACCCACAACACAGAGAACCGGTTGTTCACATATTTGAATCCCACCACTGGCTACAGGTGGTCCTAGATTTACAATCACAAACGGGACCAGAATTTCTGTTGCTAAGCCAGGCAGTGGTTTAATGAGTGGTGCCTGATTTTACAACCTTTTTTTTTTTGGCCATGGTTAAGAAAATAATTGCAGTTAAATGAATCACATAGTCATTATGCAAATTCAGCTTCCCCCATTGACTTTGCTTGACAAAGCCAGCTGGGAAGATCACAAATGGTAATCACATGAACCCAGGATGCTGCAACTGTTGTAAATACATGCCGGTTGCCCAGCGCCCAAATTTGTGTAAGTGTAAGGACTGATGGCAAATCACTTTTTTCAGTGTCATTGTAACTTTGAACTGTCACAAACGAATAGTTGTAAGTTGAGGACTGCCTCTAGAGTGATAAATGTCAGCTATGAACTTGAATAGTCCTTTTTTTCTGACTTGACTGAAATTTTTCCTTCTATTTTTGAATGAATAAGAATTCCCTATAATGATCAAATGCAAATGGATTAGCTTTAAAAATGATCTTATTACCTTTAGGTTTTTTCCAAACATCTTCCTGGTTTATCTCTTTAACCATAATATTATGAATGTAATATGGAACTCTAGTAATTTTAAAAGTGGTGGAAACTTCCTATGTTCTCCTGTGGCCAAGACAGAAAATGAGAGGAGAAAGTAAAACTGCAGAGTCTAATACTCTTTCATTTAATACTAAACTATGATTTAACACTGCATACCAATTGTCCAGCA